GTGGGTACTTGGGTGGATCAGATACCACCATGGACCACATTGCCCAAATTCAAGGGAACTTGCAAAGTGAACATGGATCAATGTACTACTGGATTACGTGATTCCCATGGGGTATTGATACGAAAACCCACCGAGACCATTGCCAACCACCGCCTTCGACTTACGCCTTTTGAACGAAAACGATGTGCTGGCCGTCACCAACAAGCGTCGGTATGTAACGAAGAACTGTCCATGGCTGCACACTATACTTCAAGGGTGCAGTCTCTTTTCGCCAATGCAGTCCTGATCGCACACGATCTATTCCAAGTAAACCGCGATCCCTTTCATAGTCACCCTTATTCTTCCACCGTGCTAGTCACCAACGCGAAGGGATATGATTTGGACGATCCAACTATCTTTCGACAACCCGACTGGTCGATCACGAGACCGCCCCCGGAAGGGTTAGGATGTCCTGCATGCGCGGATCATGTTACAATGCAATCTCGCGCACATGACAGAAACCCTGAGCATTGCAGGTGGTATAATAAGGAAGACTACCATTCGAAATGTCCGAGCTGCAAGAAGAACTACGGCCAGAACAAGCCTGGACATGCACGGATACCTGGCAAATTCAAGTCTGCCAAACCTTGGAAACTGCCCGACAATAACGGACAGGCACCACCGGCTCCTGCCGAATCAGAAGCACCACCACCCGAGGCACACAAGCCGCACTACCACTTGTGCGGCTACGAGCACCAAGACCCGGCTCTAGAGCCGGACCTACAGCGGGCGCCAGCAGCCACGACATTACAGTAGGCAGACATGCTGCTGAACCTGCTGCACGGCAACCTGCCTCCAATGGAGCGGGTAGTTCGGATGACCACATCCGACTGCCACAGGTCAGAGTCAGACGTGGCCGACAGCAAGGAGGTGATCCACCTCCACCGCCACCTGCGGGGCGCGGTAAGACGCGAGTTGCGGAAGCTACATTTGCGGTGGCCCCACGCGAAAGAGCCTAAGATGAGACTCGTCTTAACCAAGATAGGTCTGGAAAACGTCAGACTCAACCTGATCAACGGTGTACGCGACACGTGTCGGGAGCGCAATGCTTGGGACAAGCCTGGGCATACGCCTATGCCTTCGACTGCACTGCCTGGCAAGTTCAACGAAGAAGTTGAATGTGACCTTATATTCTACAAACAAAAACATGAGATTATTCACATCGTCGATCGTCGCATTCGCTATGCTACTGGAACGGAGATACCAGACAAGACACTGACCAGTACCCTGGATGCGTACCATCAGCGCTGGATGCAGTTTGGACCTGCAAAGGCACTCTACTCCGATGGAGAGGGCGCCCTCAACAACATCACTGCGAAAGCAGTCCTTCAGGCAAAAGGCATTGAACTAAGGAAACGTGCGCGTGGACAACACGCTACGACGATCGAAGTCAGAAATGGCACACTGCGCCATCTACCTCATGTCATGGAAGCTGAACTCAACAGGTTAGACATACCTCTTGTGTTCACACGACTACTGCATGAAGCCTTGCTTGCCGCCAACGCGTCTACCTTCTATAATGACGTGTCTCCACACAACGCCCTGTTTGGACGGCAACCCGCAATGCCCCCTGACTTGCCTGTCCTGGATCACGAGCAGCCGACGGAAGCGTCGGATCATTCTCGTGAACATATGATACGCAAGGCATGCATTGAAGCCATCACACAGGCCACTGCAGCAGCCAAGACCAATCGCGCATTACGCACTGAGTCAACGATCACCGGTCAGCATCACTACGATGACGAAGATTTAACTGATTACCATCGCCCCACAACCACGAAGGACGACTGGGGAGGCTGGAATGGCACATTCCCAGTCGCAAGAAACGATCACGACAGGCTGGCTTCACAATGCCTAATCAGACACCTCTTCCGCATCGAGAATGTAGTTTCTGTTGGGTTAGCCAAGAGGATCCACAAGCTACCTCCGGTGGGTTGCGCTGACAATTGCACGTTGGTCCACTATGACAACGACGTGAATCCAGGACACTATTATGAAGCAGAAGGCACCGCCCTTAACATTCACGGTATAAGTGGAACAGCACATTCAAGAATCATCAAATGCCTGAAGTCCACCGGTACTCAAGCGGGCTTCGACCAGGATATGACAAAGTTCGAGGCATCGGCGGATATACCGACACAGGACGGCACCGCAAGAGAAGCCCCAAAAGCCAAACCACCACAGGAGGATGGACGGCCTCCCACGATATATGAGGACTCGGAGGCTGACCCCAAGGCACATATTATGGAAGTGAGGCATACAGAACTACAGGATGAAAGTGAACTACTGGAGGCAACTCCACTAGAGGACCTTTTCACAGTACCCACAAAGATGATTCCAGACAACAGCGCGCCGATCGCTGTAGCTGAAGAACAGCGGGGACACCTGCCTAAGTGGGGACACACGCACACACGACTCCGACATCGGGGAGGCGCATCATGCCCCACTGCGATCCACGGTCGAAGATAGCAGCGATGGACTGGACTCAGACGAAAATGAACTAGATGTAGAACTCCGCTGCGCGGCAGAAAAGTCAAAGGTACTCTCATCCGAAGAACAGCACAGGATATTCGATGCAGGCCGTGTTGCCACCATGCGAATATATATATATATATATAAATATATACACCCGCCGCTGCAAAGCGAGCCGCGGCCGTCAAGGAAGACGACCTCCTCGCGAAGGCTGACGCCCAGGCGAACCCCGAGGAAGCATCGAAAGCCCTATACACTGAACTCAAGGCATGGTTTGGCAACAGGTGTTTCAAAATGCAAGATGCATCTAAAGCGTCAAACATCATGACTTCGAGGCACGTGTACGAATCGAAGTTCGCGGAGGACGAGAAGGGCGAGATGGAACGCACCTTCAGGTTACGCGTAGTGCTTCGAGGCCCCATGGACCTTGAAGCCTTCGACGTGGAAACCTCCTCAGGAACAGCACGGCGGTCATGCCAGCGACTACTCGCGAGCGCGGCAGCGTGCAAGGAGCAATGGATCATTGCTTCCCTCGACATCAACATGGCCCCCCTGAAAGGGTTGACCTACCAAGAACTTGCTGAGGCAGCTGGTGAGAAAGAACGCGTGGCGCGCTGTACTCTGCCGCCTGGATCGGCTACGGCGCTTCGAACTCCCCCAGGAGTCGAGCAACACGACGAGTCGAAGCACTGCTTGCAATGCCTTAAGCCAGGTACTGGCACCAAGGACACACCTCGAGCCTTCTCACTAAAGCTCAGAAGGACCACAAGAGCTTCCGGTCTCAGACCCACGCCCTACGACGAAGAGTTCGAGACGAGCAGCAGCCTGCTCACGGCCAAACATGTTGACGACACCAATATGGCCAGCACAGAGGACACCACTGACAAGTGCGCCAAGTGCGTGGAGGACACCTTTGGTAAGTGTGAACTCAACAAGCACACGCACACCAATTGCGTGGTGAGATATACCAAGGATGAGGGCGGCAGTTTTACGTTGGACCAAGACGAGTAAATCAAGCAGCTCCGTCCTATACAACATCCTGAACTTACAGGCGCCGACGCTGGCGCCCAAGCATCGAAGATGGTTGCAAACATGTTCGTCGGCCTCCGAGGCGCATTGGCGTATGCATTAATCACCCAGGTGTGGTTGATTGTATGCGCTGTCTCTCTACAACGTGTCCAAGAACCGACCAACATACAAGTGCGACGACTGAACGCGATTACCAGGAAACTGCAGGCCTGCCCTAAGAAGACCGTCTACCAAGCGATGACTCCCACGGGCGAAGTGGACCTGCACAGCGACTCAGGCGATCGACGCCTGAGTGGAGATGCCGATGACGAAGTCAAAGGATATGGTATTCGCGGGACAAACCTGCTACGGCGTGGAAGCACGCCATCTGGCAAGCCTGTCGTTCACTTGATCGATGCGTACTGCAAGTCTCACCGCTTGCAGGTCCGCTCGAGCTATTCAGCAGGGACACTAGCAGCAGCCCACCACTTGGAGGACTGCTACCCCACGATCGTGACTCTGCACGAGCTCCACGCAGGGCCGCTAACTCCCACTCAGTTGAAGGACATGCTTGAGTTGGGTGGCATGGGCATCAAGGTCACTTTGACCATAGATGCTGAGTCTGTTTTTAAGTCCTTGTCAAGCAATGACCTGAAGAAGCCGACTGAGTGTACCCTTTTAGGACACATCAGCTGGATACGACAGATGATGGAGCGAGGAATCGTACACTGTATTAAACGGTGTGACACCCACGATATGACCACGGACGGTCACACCAGGGGCAGCATCGACAGAGAAATGCTCTTACAGGTCATGGGAGGTACGCACTCCTTCAAACATGATTTATAGCGTCACACTCCTTATCGGGCTGGCCAGCCATCTCGGTCCGCAGCCGCCTGACGAGTACTCGTGTGCACAGTAAGGTGCAGGCAAGGCAACTTGCGCGCGGGTCCACCTTCCTTATGGCCCCGCCCTTTTTACTTCCCTTTTGTACATAGTAGCTGCTGTACCTGCTGTATAGAAGCGGCGGACTCACGCTTCGTCTCCCTCCCCCCCGACTCTAAAGTGAGCTGGGATACAGGCGAGAGGTGACGAGCGTGTGTCCGCGGCCGTTTGTGCTCAAGCGGCAGACCGCCCAAATCTGACTACACCTCAGTGCGAAGTGTACCATTCGCCATCGAAACCGAGAACACCCTTCGCTTGAGATGGCCCGTCGCTCCCGCGACGACCTCCTACTACTGGGACTATCGTTACTACGATACAACAGAGCTGCAGCTGGGCTTCGCCTAAGGCGAAGCTGCTGGTTGGGCCTCCCAACCCCCTTCAAACTTTCCTAAGCAGGTTTTTGAAGAATTTTGGCTTGTGCAATTTTCCAGCCGTCCGACGGCTCAAGAGGGCCGAAAGATCGGCCCCAGAGCGCCCAAGAGGCCTCCAAGATGGCCCTATGACGGCCCAAGAGGCCTCCAAGTCGGTCACAAGAGGGACCCAAGAAGCCCCAAGAGGCCTCCAAGACGCCCAAGATGGCCTCCAAGACGGGCAAGATAACCTCCAAGATGCCTCCAAGACGGCAAGAAGGCCTCCAAGACGGCGAAGATGACCCCAAGATGCACCCAAGACGGCCCCAGATGGCCTGAGGATGGCCTTCGACTGCCAGAGACCTCCAAGACGGCCCAAGACCCCTGCAAGACGTCCTCCAGGAGGCCCGAAAGCTCGGAAACCACCTGGTCCGATAGCTCGCCCGACTCCGTGTTCCCCGAAGGCTTTCGAAACCCACTCGGGGAACGCGTGGCTCGATAGCTTGGCCATGCTCAAATCCAACTTTCGGCCACGCAGGCGCTTCCAAAAAGGCAGAAGCCCGCGGTGATTCGCCGTAGGCGTCTTCGATATGAGGGGGGCGGGCCACTCCCCGGCCAGGGGGAGAAAGGAGGGTAGTCGAGCATTGGGAGGTGAGATCGCAATGGAACGGAGACCCCCAACCGGGAAATCGTACCGTTTCGTTCGTGTCGTGGGTGCGGGCGAGGCGCAGCTGCGTGGGCGCGCGAGAGGAATGAACCCGCCGTTGCTAGGGCGAAGTCACGACAAATGTTGCTCCCCCGTCCGTCCGTCCGTCCCTCCGTCCCTCCGGCGGTGGCCCTAGCGGTGTCCCGCTGTGTCCCGTGGTGTCCCGTGGTGTCCCGTGGTGTCCCGTTGGGTGAGATCGATAGTGAGATCGATAGTGAGATCGATACTGAGATCGATGTGGTGCCCCGAGGTATTCCGTGGTGTCCCGTGGTGTCCCAAAAAGTGAGATCGATAGTGAGATCGATAGTGAGATCGACAGGTGTCCCGTGGTGTCCCGTCGTGTCCCAAAAAGTGAGATCGATAGTGAGATCGATAATGAGGTCGAGAGGTGTCCCGTGGTGTCCCGCGGTGTCCCGTGGTGTCCCGTGGAGTGCGATCGATAGCGAGATCGATAGTAAGATCGATAATGAGATCGATGTGGTGTCCCGAGGTGTCCCGTGATGTCCCGTGGTGTCCCGTGGTGTCCCATGGTGTCCCGTTGAGTCAGATCGATAGTGAGATCGATAGTGAAACCGATAGTGAGATCGAGAGGTGTCTCGCGGTGTCCAGTGGTGTCCCGTGGTAGCCCGTGGTGTCCCGTGGTGTCCCGTTGAGTGAGATCGATAGTGAGATCGATAATGAGATCGACAAGTGTACCGTGGTGTCCCGTGGTGTCCCGTGGTGTTCCGTGGTGTCCCGTGGTGTCCCGTGGTGTCCCGTGGTGTCCCGTTGAGTGAGATCGATAGTGAGATCGATTGAGTCAGATGTTGGTTCCACCCTCTCCTCCCCCCACACATCCTCCTTATCACCCGAAGGGTGGTCGTATAGGTATGTTTTCATACTGCGGAGTGCCGAGAGAAAACAAGAACCCCACTTAGGATTTGAGGAACAGAACACGTGCGGCCAGCTCCGACCCAGGCTGGGTCGGGGCTGGCCAGGCCAGGGAGGCCAACCCCGACCCTATGAGGATCCCCCCAACAACAACCACAACAACTCCCCACTTCTCATCGATGACCAAACGCTAGCGCACGCTAATGCACTCCAAAGACGGAGTTGCGAGGACAAAAATGACTCCCACGATTTGCCACCGGGCCCACGTCTTCGGCGAGGCTCCCCGGCGAAAACATGTGATGACCGCCCCTGGGCTATCCGCCCCCGTCGTCGCCTCCGAGGACCCTGACATCCGCCGATGTGTTTCTTCAGTGCGCGGCCCCAGGGGTCCCGACCCTTCCCCGGAACGGTTTTTCGCCCCATGAGGATTTGGCGTGCTCCCAGGGCCGGATAACGGGCCCCGGACACCGACACCGATGAAAAACGCCAGGATCGAAAAAAAGACCGTCGGAGAACGGGGGGGGGACTTCGCTGGCGCGAGGAGTCAGCAGCGCCTCGATGCTCGACATGAACTTGTCGGCGCCGATGTTGACGCCGTAGAAAAGATAGACGAGGGCCGCGGCGTAGAGGACTGCCCGGCCCCCAGCACGGCCACCACCAGGTGGGCCCCGCACGGCGAGGAGGGGAAGGGAGGGAGGGAGGGCAAGAAGGAGGAGCACGAGGGCGAGGAGGGCTCGGGGAGCAGGAGTTGGAGAAAGACTACAAGGATAAACTGGATACCTCGGGTCCTACCTCTACCGTGCAGAAGAGACCTGTCATGGCCCAGGGGTCCTCACCCTGAAGGCCTTCCCGTGGTCGGGTAGGACGAGGAGGAGGACGGGGAGGCAAACGCAGCGATTACCTGATAAATGCCCGCGCAACGCAGGAGGAGAAGGAAGAGGACGACGGCGAGAAGGGCTCAGAGGGGGACGCTCGACAGGAGGACAAGGAGAAGGAGGAGGAGGAGGAGGAGGACGAGGAGGAGGAGAGAAGATGAACGACGCTACGAGCTTCGCTCAAAGCTCTGCCCAACGCGAAACAAGGAGGGGCGATGGGGGAGGAGGAAGAGGAAGAGGAGGAGGCGGACGAGAGAGGTCTTCTTGGGGGGGGCATAAGAGGGGTGCAGAAGGGGGCCTCCCAGGGGAGCGGGGGTCCGGTCCGTGCGGGAGCGCCGCCTCGCGGCCAGAGCGGGGCCGTGGCGGGGGGGCACCCCTGAAGCCGGAGTGGTGAGCGCTGGCGGGGCCCACAAGGGGCGATGTCCGAGCATCGAGACCCAGGAGGAGGAGGAGGAGGAGGAGGAGGAGGATCGAACATCGAGGAGCGAGGCTCGAGGAGGATCGAGGAGGGCGATGAAGGATCGATGGTCGAAGAGGATCGTCGAGGAGGATCGAGGATCGAGGGTCGAGGATCGAGGGTCAAGGCGGATCGAAGAGGAGGAGGAGGAGGAGGAGGAGGAGGAGGAGGATCGAGGATCAAGGATCAAGGATCGGGGAACGAATGGATAGAGCAGGAGTGGCGCGAAGGGGTGGTCGGATACGAAGGCAAAGGGGCTTCTCATAGATCAGGGCCCTTCTACCCATTCACAATATTTGATTGTTTCTCTTGGCGGTCGTCGTCGCAAGCTCGTTCGAATCACCGGCTGTGTCCGCAAGGTCGCCCCAACTTGCGTAGTAAGCGCGACTGCGCGCGGCTGGCGAGATGAGCTCGTGGAGCCAATCTCTCGCAAGGGGTCAAGAGACCTACGCATTGCCTTGCCCTCGTCCGCGAGTTAATTCGTTTTGTCCCAACCATCCTGTGGTGTTGGGTCCTCGTTTTGAAGAGACGGTGCCCCGCGTTCCTTCCTTCCTTCCTTCCTTCCCTCCTCCCCCTCCTCCCTCCTCCCCCTCCTTGCCTCTGCTCTCGGCACACCTCTCACACGTTTCGTAGCCCCATAGGGAGCTCCACCGAAGGTCCCAGTGAGAGGGGGCGCATGCGGTTCCCACACCCAGGGCAGCGCTTCGTGGCCCCATAGGGAGCTCCACCGAAGGTCCCTGTGAGGGGGGGCGCATGCGGTTCCCACACCCAGGGCAGCGCTTCGTGGCCCCATAGGGAGCTCCACCGAAGGTCCGTGTGAGGGGGGGCGCATGCGGTTCCCCCGCCCAGGGCAGCGCTTCGTGGCCCCATAGAGAGCTCCACCGAAGGTCCCAGTGAGGGGGGGGCCATGCGGTTCCCACACCCAGGGCAGCATATCGTGGCCCCATAGGGAGCTCCACCGAAGGTCCCAATGGGGGTGGGCGCATGCGGTTCCCCCACCCAGGGCAGCGCTTTTGGGCCCCACAGGGAGCTCCACCGAAGGCCCCAGTGGGGGGGGGCGCATGCGGTTCCCCCGCCCAGGGCAGCGCTTCGTGGCCCCATAGAGAGCTCCACCGAAGGCCCCAGTGGGGGTGGGCGCATGCGGTTCCCCCACCCAGGGCAGCGTTTCGTGGCCCCATAGGGAGCTCCACCGAATGCCCCAGTGGGGGTGGGCGCATGCGGTTCCCCCATCCAGGGCAGCGCTTCGTGGCCCAATAGGGAGCTCTACCGAAGGCCCCAGTGGCGGTGTTCGCATGCGGTTCCCCCACCCAGGGCAGCGTTTCGTGGCCCCATAGGGAGCTCCACCGAAGGCCCCAGTGGGGGTGGGCGCATGCGGTTCCCCCACCCAGGGCAGCGCTTCGTGGCCCCATAGGGAGCTCCACCGAAGGCCCCAGTGGGGGTGCCCGCATGCGGTCCCCCCACCCAGGGCAGCGTTTCTTGGCCCCACAGGGAGCTCCACCGAAGGCCCCAGTGGTGTCCGCATGCGGATCCCCAACCAAGGGCAGCGTTTCGTGGCCACATAGGGAGCTCCACCGAAGGCCCCAGTGGGGGTGGGCGCATGCGGTTCCCCCACCCAGGGCAGCGCTTCGTGGCCCCATAGGGAGCTCCACCGAAGGCCCCAGTGGGGGTGTTCGCATGCGTCTCCCCTACCCAGAGGTAGCGCCACCAAAAACAATATTCATAGTTGCGGTATTCACAACTGCATATGGTTGGGTCCTTCGCCAAGCTAATTTTGGGAGGGGGGGCTTGCGTCCCTGTGCGGTCTTCATGTCGGTTAGTAGAATTACGTGTTTCATTAGCCGACTAGGCGTCGATGAGCCCTTCATGGCGCGCGCCCCTCCTTCCAATGCCACCAAGACTCGAATTAAATCGCGTTCTCCGCGTTTTTCGACCACAGGGCCCAACATGAAAATTCAATGTTTCCATCGGAGGGTTGTAGGAACCTTCTTGGAAGCCTAACGGGCGTCTGAAAAGCCTCCCTGCCTTTTTTAAGCCCCTCCGCCTCCTCGAAATCGACCCCCTTCGCGCCACTCCCTCATGGGCGCCTCCTCTGTACTCAACGCCTCCATCGTTGACTGGCAACCCTTCTCTCAGGGCTGGACCTGAGTAGTGTTCTTCGTGTTCGTTTTGTCATAGTTGTCCCTAGTGTTGTGTTCGTTCTGTCTTTGTTGACAACAAAATCAGAACGACAACGGTCCACGAAATCGCCAAAACAACGTTCAGGTCGAGTCATGCCTTCCACACCCAGTGCCCATCAGTGACCCTTGCGAATGGGAGCTCCTACGGACCAGCACCCCAAAAGGGGGAGCGAGCTTGCCGCGGCATCGGCCCGTGCTCGTTACAAGTTGATTTCTGGAAAGGCGTGCACTGCCCAGCGTGGTCCCTCAGGGCAGCTGCGAGGAGATCGCACATCGTGCCAGCAGGGAGGAAGTGTAAACTGGGTCCACTCGCCCTCACGCCACTGGATTCTGCCCCCCTGCGTGCATGGAGCGGTCAAGAGTGGTTCTGCACACCGTATCCATGACATTTAAACTGGGCGTTCTGCCCATGACGCTGTGGTTGAGATGGCGCTGTCCAATCCCCCCGCCCCGACGTCGCCCCCCTCTGCTGGGAGGTCATCTGTTGCCACGGAAACGGTGCAGCATCTCGTCAGTGACAATCGGAGTCCAGTTCTGTCCTCGGGCACCGGTGGTCCGATGAGCGTCTGGAGCGCTACAGCCGGACCAAGGATAGAGGAACATCCTTCAAGAGCATGAGACCCACCGCATGCCAAACTGAAAAACCTTTGAAGTAGATGACTTCCCCAGGATGCACACAAGAACACGCAGCAAACACGAATACCATTAGGGTATCCTCCCCGAACCGACCTCGATCTTACACCTCGGTGCGACCGTATTGATACTATCACCGAACCGTGCCCGCTACCCTTACAGTGGGCCTTCTGCCCACGTTTATTGCCGCGGAATCGCCGCGGCCGCGGCTGCCTGGCCGGGTCCGAATATCGGGAAGCTTCCCCTAATAGTCCTGCCGAGCGCTCTGGGGTCTAAAGATGAAGAAGTCGGCGGCAAAGGCCCTCCGACCACACGATAGCCGACGAAGAACAGTATAGATAAACTGTCTCGCTGTCGGGGCCGCCAGCCCCATGGAAGCTGGAAAATGCATACCCCGACGTGCCACCGTAAGGGTATAAACTTTCCAGCCGCCCTGGGGCAAGCGTCCCAGGCGGCCGACAAGCTGATCTCATCCAGTTCTCCGTCTGCTAAACATGCGTTTGCGGGTCTGCCCATCACGACCGCCGCTGACGGGGCTCGTGTTGGCCTCGTGCAGGATTTGGGACGCGACCTGTCTCCTGTGAATACATACATACACCTATATATCCACACATGCATACATACATACACACCAACAAACAAACAAACAAACAAATAAACAAATATTACATACATACATACATACATACATACATTCATACATACATACATACATACATACATACATACATACATGCATGCATGCATGCATGCATACATACATACATACATACATACATACATACGTATACATAGATACATACATACATACATACACACATACATACATGCATACATACATACCTACCTACCTACCTACCTACCTATCTACCTACCTACCTACCTACCTGCCTGCATGCATGCATGCATGCATGCATGCATGCATGCATACATACATACATACATACATACATGCATACATACATACATACATACATACATACATACATACATACATACATACATACATACATACATACATACAGGCAGACAGGCAGGCAGACATACATACATACATACATACACACACACAGACATACACAGACATACACAGACATGCACACAATCATCGCGCTACCATGAGGAATGGCACAAAAGGGTGGAACTGGCGTTCGTGGTCACGGCGAAAGTCGGCCAAGAATAGTTCCCCTGACCTAGAAATAAAGGCGGGCCCGAAAACCATAGCCCCCCCGACCCCAAAGTGTTCGTCGTTTCACCGCCATGACTGTACTACTGCTCGCCTTTTCTCGTACGCGCTGATCCCAGCGCTGCAACTGATGCTGTCGGGCCCCCATTTTCGCATCCGAAACTTCGCTGGGGAGCACCAAAACCCGCCGTCACTACATGTCCTTCACAGCTGGCATCATAGTAGTGGTGAGAATGGTTCCTCCGACATCTCGGTGAGCAGCGACGCGGTCCGCTGCCGCCGTTCGACTTCCTCGCTCGAGCTGATCCCAACACTGACTTGTGGGCCCGCTCAAGCTCCTCCACATGCCTCTTCGCGGTCAACCGCGCCTACGCATGACAGCAAATCGATTCCGCATCCGTACTCCAGAAGCCCCTGAGCGACAGCGGTCCCGATGTATACTGACTTCCGCACTTTGACGCACGAGGTTCCGCCTCTTCCGCTTTGCGCTGACCGCTCGCCGAGGAGAGCTCACAGATCAGGCCAGCAGCACATCTGACTGGTGGCGCTGAGAGATGGCAACCTCAAGCTATAGGCTTCGCTGAGCGCGCTGAGCACCACCAGGGCCTGCGGCCACTGCATTACTTTTGTCGCACATGCCGATCCCAGCGCTGCCCCTGATGACGTCGGGCTCAAGCTTCGCCTCTCAAATGGCGCAGAGCATCGCCAAAGCCCGCTACCACTGCTCGCCCTTCTCGCAATCAATGATCGCTTCGCGACAAAAAACCTACCGGCCACAAGATGGCACGCGGGGTCAGAGCAGAGATGTTGACGAAATATATGTGTGATGACATTGGGCCCGAGATTCGCCTCTGCTGTTGCCACCTGCTGCTGAAGGAAGAACTTGCCTGCGGCATGTTTCTGCTGTTTATGTGTGCTGTGCTGCTGCCGGAGGAAAGCATCTACGCTCCATGGAGCGTCGACAACTTGGTCGTGGCGGACCAACGCTATGACGATTTGGGCCTTCACTCGTTCTCCTTGTTCCGTACTTCTGGGCGTATCGACGCAAAGGTAGCCGACAGAATTGTCGACAACCAAACGTTTGCCCCCTGCCGACATTGCCTCCTGCCAGTGCGAGGGGGGGATGGGGAGGGGGCGCAGACGCCCGTGCGTAAGCACGGATGGAAACAACATTCCCAGCGCACAGATGACGGCAGTAGTTCGCTGCGAAGACGATGAGAAGTTCAAGCTGGAAAATTCACTTGATTATGGTACGAAACTGAGCACACAAACTAGACCCGAAAATTGACTTCACATCTAAGCTCCAGACTTACCACAACACAACGAGTAGCACCAAAACCCAGCTGATACATCAAGCCAGAAGGAGCAGAACAAATAAGCAGGAACAATTGAACAGGAATTTGAGAAGGAGCATAAACCAGGAAATTAAACATTAAAATTAAGCAGCATAGTAAGCAGAGAAGGTAAACAAAAAGCAGGAAGCTAAACAGGAAATTGAGAAGGAAAATTCAGCAGGAAATTCAGCAGGAAATTCAGCACGTGGAAGGTTTTTGGGAGGTCTGTTGGAAGATCTGTTGGCAGGTTGTTGGAAGGTTTTGGGCGGTTTCGCTAAATGCTGGAAGGTTTCAGGAAGGTGTTCAAAAGGTTGTTGGAAGGTCTTCTGCAAGGTTGTTGGAAGGTGTTTGGAAGGTTTGTGGAAGGTTGTTTGGAAGGTTTCTGTAAGGTGTTTGGAAAAACCTTCCTGGAAGCTTCCTAAAACCTTCCTCAGGAAGGTTCCAGGATTTCTGGAACCTTCCCAAAAAACCTTCCTAAAACCTTCCGCAGGAAGGTTTCAGGAGGAGTTGGCCGAACTGCCGCACCCAACGGTCCTGATAATAGTACTAGTAGTACGTTGGGCATTGAGCTTCTCCGAACTTGTACTATTTCAAGTGTTAATATCATGATTGTTAGTAGAAGTAGTATTGTCATCAGTATTACTATTTCGACTACCAGTGCCATGTCTATTCATACTACTCATATGATTATTATTCCTCCTCCTCCTCCTCCTCCTCCTCTTCCTCCTCCTCCTCCTCCTTCTCCTCCTCCTCCTCCTACTCCTCCTCCTCCTCCTACTCCTCGGCAGTTCATGAGGGAAGCCCCCACCCCGCCTGCTCGGAGGACGGGGGACCACTCGTGCTCGGCCTCGCGACGTCGGCGGCTGTGGGCGGGAGCGAGCTCGGGGCTGGAAATGGGAGTGCGCGTCTGTCGGGAGACGCGGGAAGATTCTCCTCGTCCTCCCCTCCCCTCGCGCAGGATATCAGGAGGCAACTCGGTATTTCCTGGGGTGCCTTCGTGAAAACGTTGAACTGCAACGAGTCGGCCCGATGAAAAGGCAATTAAGCCGGACTCGGCCTAGGCCCAGGGTCAAATCGGATTAAGCCAGAGGATGCCAAATTCTGCCTGTTTTCGACCATGGATGCACCAACGCCGACACTGAATTTGACCTCCCGGGAGTTGTGTCCACAAGGAGAGGTTGCTAAACCCACTTATTTCTGTCCCCCGCCTTGGCCTTTGCCCTTCCTTCGCCGTCCCTTCGGGATCGGCACCGCTCCCTCGGCCACTCCCAAGAATGCCGAGGATAGCGAGGCCCGTGTCGATCCCGTGAACCTGATGCTCTCATAGGCTCAGCTGTTGAGTTCTGCCCTGAAACGGGAGAGGGGCGTGCCGTAATGGGCAGGGTGACGCATGCGAACGCGACCATTGGGGCCTTCGGTGGCGATCCTTATGGGGTCACGAAACGCTGTATTGGGTGGCGCGGGCGCATGTGAACGCGGCCTGTGGGGCCTTCGGTGGAGCTCCCGATGGGTTGACGAAGCGCTGTACTGGATGGCACAGACGCAGGAGAACGCGACCACTGGGACCTTCGGACGAGCTCCCTGTGGGGCCACGAAAAGATGTAGCGGGTGGCGCGGACGCATGCGAAAGCCGCCACAGGTGCATTCAGTGGATCCCCCTACATGGAGCTGCGAAACGCTGTCCTGGGTGGCGCGGACGCATGCGAACGCGGCCATTGGGGCCTTCCATGGGTTCCCTGTCGGAACCACGTAACGCTGTCCTGGGTGGCCCAGGCGCATGCGAACGCGGCCTCTGGGGCCCTCGGTGGAGCTCCCATTGGGGCCACAAAACTCTGTGCTGAATGGCACGGACTCATGCGAACGCGGCCATTGGGGCCTTCGGTGGAACCCCATATGGGGCAACGAAGCGCTGTACTAGTCCGCGCGGACGCCTGCGAACGCGGCAGGTGGGGCCCTCGGTGGAGTTCCCTATGGGGGGGTGACGAAGCGCTGTACTAGGTGGCGCGGACGCATGCGAACGCGGCCCCTGGGGCCTTCGCTGGGGCCCCTGACGGGACCACGAAACGCTGTGTGAGGTGGCGCAGGCGGATGCGAACGCGGCAGCAGGGGCCGTGGCTGGAACTCCCTATGGGGCTACGAAACGCTGTACTTGGTGGTGCGGACGCACGCGGACACGGCCAGAGAGTCGTTCGGTGAAGTTCCCTACGGAGACATGAAGCGCATTCCAAGAGGCCCCCACGAGGCTCCCAAGCGGCCCCCAAAAGCCTCCCAAGAGGCCCCCGAACTACCCCCAAGAGGCATCTGAGAGCGCGTCGTCATCGTCGTCGCCGCCGCCGCCGTCGTCGTCGTCGTCGTCGTCGTCGTCGTCGTCGTCGTCGTCGTCGTCGTCGTCATCGTCGCCATTCAGGGTCGGTGGCACTGGCCGCAAGGCCTCCTCAACCATTGCACCCTCAACTCAAGCTGGCCCTAGACGCCAGCAACTGCAATTCGAGAGACGTCCCGTCCCAAAACAGGGGAGGCGAAACCACGGCCACGACACCGAGGGAAGGCGAGGGAGAAGGAAGAGGGCGGGGCAGGGAGCGAGGTGGGGAGAGGAGGGGAGGGGTAAAGGGGGGCAAAGGGCAGGGTCGATAATTCGGCAATGGGGTCGACAACGGGACACCGGGTCATTGGATTGGTGCAAGCGCTGTCCTCCGCATCCTCACCCTCCTTGTTTTGGGTTCATCATCCACCCTCCTCCTACTCCTTCTGTCTGTTGGCACCTCATCCTCATCCTCCTCTTCCTCGATCTAATCATCCTCCCCTTTCCTCCTCACCCCGATCACTCCTCTAAGACCACCCACGGAGGGCGATGGCCATGCCGCCCCCCAGCCCCAAGCCCTGCCCCCCACGGTTCAACGTGAATGCTACACAACACCACGGACTCCGATGACAACGCCTGGAAAAATCCTGGCTACAGACCTGCTGGGCTGACGGAGAAGGTCGAGCCTGGTAGTCGAGAAGAGGATGTATGCCACTTGCCTCACTTATGAATGTGTCCTGGTCCTGATGACTCCCTCCTCTCGGCACGGCGGGACGTGCGTTTCGCCTGAGACTACTTCACCAATTCTGATCCTCACGTGAAAAATTCGAGAACTCACGCTGATGAAGGGCGGGTGGTCTACAAGATGCGTTTCCAGCCTTAGAACCGCCCACATTCGTCCTAAAAGTTTCAAACAGCTACAAGGATAGAGGGCTGGTGTTGTTCAGAACGTGGTTCTAACCCACGCGCCGCACACTTCCATCTTCAGCTGCAAGACTGGAAAGCGGGTGGTTTACGGGATGTTTCCGTCGCATCAGCGACGGGTCCGACTGACTCTAATCACGCGTAAGCTTCGCGCGCTCAGGATCTAGCAAGCCGAAGCCCTTGATAAACTGACAGCTGCACGGCAGTGCGCAGCGACATACGTAGTAAACGTGAGCAGGTGTTCACAACCCAAATAACGCACTCTGAATTCAGTCATGCGCGTCGAACCAGGAAGTCCGAAAAACATATACCTTTCGATCCGTCCGTCCATCTATCCATCCATGCTACCTCTGAGGCATCTGTCGATGGCCTGTTCCATAGGTATCCATAAACCCATTGACTACACACATGCATCAACTGACGCAGACATCTGTAAGGTGTCTCGAGCCACCCGTAGCTCCGAGCCTACCCCCCGAAGCATCAAGATGCCCCAGAAAGATCGACCCGAACGGCCCGACGTGTCCCCAAGCTGCCCGCAAGAGGTCCCAAGATGGCCCCTAGAGGCCCCAAGAACGCCAGTAACATCAAATTCTAGAGGTCTATACGGAGTTCCTTGGATCGGCGCTGGAGGGCACCAAGAGTAGCGCGCGGAGGCGCCGCCAGATGGATCCACCAGTCCGACTGGAGAGATCCGCCCGACGATGTGCTGTTCACCGAGCGCCTGCGAGATGGGCCTTTCTCCCTCTCTTTGCAGATCAAGTCTGGACGTCTGGACTCGGACTCACCCGAGCCAGTTTTCCGCTTGCATGGGTGCCTCCCTCCCTGCCTCCCTCCCAAGAGCCCCCAGGAAGTCTGGACCCATTCCTCGCTATAATTGTTCTAATCCTGGGTCACTTTGTGTCGGTCCTAAGGCCTTGCGAGGGGGCCAGGGTATTCTGCCGCTGCCGCGGCTCGAGCTGTTCAGGAACCGAACTCGCAGTCACAGCATCCATGTCGGTGCTCCAGCTGGGGTGCCTCAGACAGTACGCTGGATACAGACTCGCGCACAGCGTTGAGGTGCGTGACTGCGAGGGCGACGGCAAAGAGACAGCACCATCATATCAATTGACATATACATCGCGGTCTCATCACGGGGACGGAGGGCCATGCGAGAGGGAGCGCTGGCGGGGCGCTCGGGGAACAGCGGCGGCCTGCGTCCCGGGGAAGAACATGCCCCTACCACCTGCCCACCCCCACTGGAACACGCGCAGGGGCGGAGGCGAGGGAGGGGGAGACTGACGGTGCGATGCGGCGCGCGGCTTTAATTTGGGGCAGAGAGGCAGGAGGAGGGGGAGGAGGCTGGAGGGGAAAGAGGAAGAGGGGGGAGGAGGACAACACCAACGACCATCGACTTCAGGAGAACCCACCACATGGATTGACTTAATGACAACCGACTTCAAATGGCTAGCCAGCACTACTACCAAAATGGACGAGGCACAACGACACTGGGACGTTGCAAGATGGTTAGAGTACGCCCACGAGGCGCCCAAGCACTACAACAATCAAATAGACAGAGCCAAATGCAGAGAGAAAGTCGACTTCAGCGACAAGCTCTGCACAGCCATCTCGCAACAACTCATGCACCAGCTCGACTACGACAACAGCGACGCAGCACCAGAACCACCACGGCAGCAAACAGCATACATCTGCTACAGATGTGGACATACATCTTTTTGAAGAAAGGAAAGCACACTGCACCAAAAAACACCCACAACCAGACGACATCGCGAATTAAGTGGAAGGGAGAACCTGCATATGCTGCAAAATCAATTCCACACAAGACACAGACTGCTCATGCAACTACGATACAGAGTGGCACCATGCAACCAATACTACATACAGCAAGTACCTACACGAACACCTAACACAACAGCAGCTATACAGCAGAGCGACAGCACGTAGACCAAAGCTGACAAGGACAAAGGACTACGAGCGAGCAGACGCGGCGACGATACCAGCAGCAATCCCAGAGGAATACAGACGATAGCCTCGCATCCAATACGACATAGCAGCGCCACCAACAACCATCATCACAGAAGAGCAGACCCACCGGTAACCACTCAGCGACACGAGGAAGGAACCAACATACACCCTACTGCTGTTCCAAGATGAACGCCATCACAACGACTTACAACACCAGTTAAAAACTAACCCACACGCTGACAAATACAAATGCATCAGCATCGGCTACAGTGCAGACTCACAAGTCGATCTTGCGACACCAGAAATGACGACACATGGACTCGAAGGATCATACAAGGTCGAGTAGCGACCATACTCACACCTGGTCAGACAGTGCTACTTACCGCACCACAACAAAGATCTGGGGGTTCCTCAACCAACCCAGAGAGCAGCTCAAAAGGACACGCGTAGCCAATAAGAGAATCCTAAACCTGAACCTACCACCGGCAGTGGCTAAACACACAAGCTTAACGTGCATACTAAAAACTGTCCCAAACACTTGGCAGATACGGCAACTCCGACAACTTGGCAGCGGAGCACACAGCATCGACTGGGACCAATGCACATCCAACAAGCCGATTAAGCCAACAACCAGACTATTGGCACTGCTAGAAAGCGCGATCACAGACAGACACAACCGAAACAGACGCATCTGCAACATGCACGACCAAGCAGCATATCACCCAACTGCAGGCAGCTACAACATACCGACAGATCTCTGCAGCCGCATTACGACATGTCTGGCAAAGACACGAACGCGTTCGGCCAAAGCAATACCACCAACGGATTTCTGCGGCGATCTACCTCTGGATCCACACTTACACCAACATGTGCCAAGTTACACGGACACAAAACAGCACCACACGCCAAATTTCCAACACATCGCCGGCACCCACAACAACACGGTCTAACTAACGACAACGAACAACCCAACGACTGATACAACAAGACCATACGGCTAAAGCTAGAATACCAACTTACGCGAACAGCAGTCCACACAACAGTAGGTCCCTACCCAATCGCCTGCCTCATACCTGGCACGGGAGCCCACGGGCATAACTCAGGGAGAACCAGGCACACTTCAGACCTGGAATAGGAGCCCATTAAGGGCATGCCCCATGGAGAAGCTGCTGGGCACGTAAGAGCAATAAATACAAGCTCTTCGGATAAGGGACACGGTTGCATCATAGTACAAGCGCTCATACACCGAGATTATGGAGCCGTTGTTATACTGTTCAGAGGCCAGCGCCAATGTCGCAAATAGAAAATTGACTACACAAGATCGACACGTGACGATATCTGCGCTACCAAAGTGAAACATGATTAGATACATTGGCACCGCAGTTGTTGACTCTATCGCAAGGGCAAAAGGAGTTCTTCAGTTCTCGCGAACCGCAGTTGATGCAAACCTTGATTTGGATTGCATGGTGCTTGCACACAAAACAACACTACTACACAAAGTACGGCGACGCAGCACTCCACACACTCCAGCCGAACAAGACTCACGAACTCAAACCACCACGAACTCTGCCCGCTTCAAACTTAGAACGGGAGCCCTGACGGACATACCTCAGGGAGAAACACTAGCGGAAAGACAGCACAATGATTCCAACACATCGATATATCACTTCATCGCCTGCTTCACACCTGGCAAAGGAGCCCCCAGGGGCAAACCTCAGGGAGGAGCGACAAAAGGCGTACAGCACCGACCGATGGAGCATACGACTGGGTTCGATATTACAGTGCCATGCCCGCTTGATACCTGGCAAGGGATCCCAACAAGGGCATACCTCACGGAGAAGCAATGAGGTAAAGACACAGTCAATCGACATGACATTGATGCATTACGAAGGTCACTGTCCATTCCTACCAGACCATTATGAGGGACATTGATGCGTTATGAAGGTCACGCCATGGACTACAAGACCACATAAAAAAGCACACGCAAGGACGTCCTAATCAGACAAGAATTACTCACTGTGGGAAACTCCCCATCTGTGCATCGCGTTTAAAAATAATAGTTTGTATGTGGGATCTGTACAGGAGCGTTTAGCCATATGATTTATATGTTAAGCTCATGATGTATGATCGTGTCATGGTGAGCATCTGTCCAGGACAATGTTGATCTAAAAACGCGTCCATGTGAGCGGCGAGCAAACGTGCGCGCAGCTCGGCTGTACATTCACCGTATGTACACATTCATTCACATGTATACGCTCGCGCATTGCTGTGGATCACAAGATCCGCCCCGGATAACGATCCCCCAGCCTGCACAGCCGAAGAAGAACATTCTGCGTCATCAACCATCTCTCCCCTCACCCACCCGGGGTGTAACAAAGACGGCCTTCAACAAAAAACGCCCTGCCATCCTGTGGATCACTGGATCTGCCCCCTGAGGCCAACCCCCCCCGAGGCCGACTCGGCCCCCAGAGGCCCGAGCGAGGACGCGACCGAGGTGCATGGAGGAAGCGCACAGGAGAGGGAGCGGAGGAGCGAGAGAGAGAAGGAAACCAGCGCCCTTAAGGGTGCTGAAGCCAGCGCCCCGCCTGACACATGTTCCAAATCTGCTCTGAAAGCAAAGGATGTTGAGCCACAAAACAAGCGAACCGCTGGAGACATCCCCACAAACTGGCCGCGAACGGGCCCGTGTCATACCCCCTGGCGGCTCCCCTTAGGGGTGCTGAAACCAGCGCCCCGTATGAGAAATCCTCCAAATTTGCTCTGCAACAAAAGATGTTGAGCCACAAAACAAGCAAACCGTCTGAAACATCCCCACAAACTGGCCGCGAACGGGCCCGTGAAAACACCCCAGGCGGTTCCCCGTAGGGGTGCTGAAACCAACGTTCCGCCCGAGACATCCTCGCAAATTGCTATAAACGCGGACGGTGCTGAGCACGGAAACGAGCAAACCGCATGAGACATCCCCACGAACTGGCCGCGAACGGCCCGTGTCGTACCTCCTGGCGGCTCCCCTTGAGGGTGCTGAGACCAGCGCCCCGCCTGAGACATCCTCACAATCTGGTCTATATGCAAACGATGTTGGCCACCGAAACAGGCAAACCGCCCGAGACAACCCCACAAACTGGCCGCGAACGGGCCCGTGCAATACCCTCTGGCGGCTCCCCTTAGGGGTGCTGAAACCAGCGCCCCGTCTGAGACATCCTCACAATCTGCTCTGAACGCAGACGATGTTGGCCACCGTAACAGGCAAACCGCATGAGACATCCCCACAAACTGGCCGCGAACGGGCCCATGCAACACCCCCTGACGGCTCACCTTCAAGGTGCTGAAACCAACGCCCCGCCTGAGACATCCTCACAATATGGTCCATATTCAGACGATGGTGGCCACCGAAACAGGCAAACAGCCTGAGACATCCCCACAAGCTGGCCGCGAACGGGCCCGCGCAATACCCCTCGGGCGGCTCCCCCTAGGGGCGCTGAAACCAGCACCCCGCCTGAGGCATCCTCACAAACTGCTCTAAACGCAAACGATGTTGGCCACCGAAACACCGCGAACGGGCCCATGCAATACCCCCTGCGGGCTCCCCTAGGGGTGCTGAAACCAACGCCCCGCCTGAGACATCCTCGCAAACTGCTGCCAACACAAACGACGTTGGCCACCGACACAGGCAAACCGCCTGAGAGGCCGTGCAATACCCCTCGGACGGCTCCCCGTAGGGGTGCTGAAACCAACACCCCACCTGAGACATCCTCCGAATCTCCTGAGTATGAATGAATGACTGCGAAAGAGTCTTGGCATGACTGCATCCGAAAGAATACGAGCATGAGTGAGTCTGAATGTGAACAACTCTGAATAGTATGAGGGCGATGGAATCAGGTGTATGGACGAATCTAAGCAGGAGAAGACGAGAATTGGAGGAGGCCTGACTGAGAAGTCGGCGGCGTCAGAAGAATAACAAGAGCCCCATCTTAGGATATAGGGAATAACAGAAGCTATCGCCTGCCGGCTGGCCCCAGGCTGCATACGGCACATGACAAGATACACCGAAATCTAGCACAGCAATTCGACAAATTTGAAAGCAGATGCATTATTACGAGACAAGTGACTTACTTCGAAGTGTGAATACCAAGGGAATCGGATTGGCATGCCACATCAATTGCTCTTATCCAGCGTATACGGCTATTATTCTGGTCTTCTGCTGTGAGTTGCGTCCAAGATAAGTTGACTGAGTGCTGGGCACGTGCAATCACACGGCCA